CATTATGCTATCATTCTGCCACAACCGAGGGTTCCACTAAGACACAGGGCCGATGTAACCATCGAGGCAAGCCATTCCAATCTCCATTACCAGCATTGACGAGCTTATCGAAGAGGTGAATTTGTCTTTTCTATTGCAATCGACCACGAGGCAAAACAAGTAGTGCTGATTTCTGCCCCATCAGTAGACCATTTCAACAAACACGAATGGTCAGGAATGCTAACTTAGTTTAATATAGGTCATTTGTGGTGATTTAACTTCTCTTATCTCAATTTACCTCCTTCGAACACTGAAATTCACTTAGTCTTATAATCCTGGAAGGAATTCAATTTCCACCTCTCCTGGGCATCACTAGTTTCCCTAACAGGAATGGAAACCAGGTCGTGCGTATTGTGGCAACAGGTAACTGCTCCGTGTGTTATAGCTCATATGTGACCTTACCGACGAGCCTGGCCTCTTTCGAATTCATATTTTATGGTGAAGATATCGATGAGGCAATCTTGTAGTTAGTTGACAATGCAACTACGAGGTTTACTCACTTCCTAGTAGAAAAAATTAGCTATTAGTCTTGCCTAAACTATCTACGGTTCAATCATAAAGCATCTACTTACACTTTGGAGAGTAAATCTCATCAACAAAACACCTGTCTCTTACGTTGAGTGAGGCTGTTTGAGACCCCTGGTACAGATTCTGTATACGAAGTATTCGTAGTGACATTTGAGAGAATATCATTTATTATAACTAGTAGTAAGACTATTAGTAGGACACATGATGCCATTTAATTTCGCTTAGCCTTGCTTCGCAAAGTATTCTTCTTCAGGCTGGACCGCTGTTTCGAGGAGTACTCAAACCATTGTAGGAAAGGGCAGACGACTTCAGACTAGTTGCGTTCTATATAGTCGCCCTGACAACAAGAGCAAGTTGCGACAACGAGGTCAACCCACTTCTATAAATCGAAAGGAGATGGAACATCTACTCATTACGAATGCAAGTCGTGCTGTCCACTTTAATGGCAAATACATGTTTGCTACATCATTCTACCCTCATTAGCAATATAATTTGGGAGTCTTGGCTTTGCTTGAAACCCAAATATGACCTGTTACCCAATGACACAAATGACAGTATGACGTATTGGCAGCTTAATAATAAAAGCTGCAGAAACAGGTTTGATTTACGTTGGGGGCACTGATGAGACCAAGGCAAGGTCGAAGCTGCGATCAACTTTGGATGAGAATAAATTTTAAGAGGCAAAGTCAGGTGAAATTCAATGCTATTTTGAGGCATACTCATATCATTGTGCGAAAATTTGCTAACAGTCCTTCATCAGCATAGTGTCTCAGGATAACTATAATTCTTATTCTGCATAAGAAGCATAGTTTTTCGTTTGTGAGTATGCCTTCAAGACAACCGGTAAATCTGCTATATGAGATGCATTCACCCTATTTCGTTTAGGGTGATGAAGGACTGGTAGTTGAATTTTCCCACATTGATATGAGTAGACGATACGTTTTATTTGACTTTCACACAGCCATGCTTTCCAAAAAGGTATTAGAATTAGGAAATTCGGCAGAAGTCGAACCTTGATAGTATAGAATACAATAAAATACGTGAACCACTACGTTGCATTGTCATAGCTTGAGTCCCGCTGGGGGTGCTGATGGAGCCTAGGCGAGGTAGAAACTGCAGTTTGTCCTAGATAAGTATAATCTTGTGGCAGCGTGGCGTAGCGATTAACGTGTCTAGATTACATGCTGTACTATCACGGTTCTGGTCCCACCGGATTTACTGATGTTGATTTACTGGTAGTCTTGACAACATAATTATAAAACAAGAAACAATTGCTAGACTTGACCAAATTTTAAATCTTAGCACCAAAATCCAACATTTATTGCTCTCTTGGCATCATTAGTGAGCAAAGACTAAACTCCGAGCTTGGGTAAAGCACATCAGAACAACATCATATGATAACACTCGTTTTATGTCAGGTTCTACTTCACTCCCCAACTTGTGCAAACAGGGTCCAAATCAGGCTGGACACTTAAGAGATTGAATGTTTCACTGCTGACATTTTATGCAAACATCAGTCAGGTCATACACCGATAACGCGCAGTCGCAAACACAAGTTAAATTGATGTTTATTGGTTTATTTTTCACAGGAGGACTGTGTCGGAGTCTTTCAAAGGGAACTATCTGTGACGAAGATGAAGAGCATCATGGGACCTGCTCCCACTCTTCTAGTGCCCAGAGTGTGGGCTAATCCACGTAACTTCAACTTTGATAACATCGGCAAAGCAATGTTGGCTCTCTTTGAGGTGCTGTCGCTGGAGGGCTGGGTGGAGATAAGAGATATTATTACGCATCGAGTTGGCCCGGCAAGTGACTTTGCTCCTTCAGATTCTTCTCATTTATAAATTTATCCTTCACACAATCGGGTCATATATAATGCTTAATCCGGCCTCCAATGGCATGCTACAAGACATGACGAACGATTAATCTACTCTTGTTGTCTGGGCGACTATGTAGAACGCACCTAGTCCAAAGGCATCTGTCATACTAGTTGTCATGATTCCCAGCATCAAGCAGTGGACTTGGTACATTCTCAAACGCTTAGTCAAATAGACAAGTCAAGCCAATCCCTTGACAAACGTTCTGCCAAAAAACGGTTGCACTATCCCTCTTCTTTCTGTCCTGGCCTATCTATCTATTCTTTACCCTCTTCTCCCACAG